GCTAGGAGAGCAAGTAATACCGAGATCAGAGATCATCTGGTGGTGGGGTGTATGCGTGTGGCGGGGAGACAGGCAGGAAGAAAGCAAGCCTTTTCCCCTCCCTGGACGAGCCAACAGCAGCTAACAGTAACCAATCCTCGCGTGGCTCCCCGGGCGGGCGCAGTCAGCCCCCGCCCACCTCCGCTGAGCCCGGCGGGCGCTCTTCTCAGCCTGCCCCACCAGACCCTTTTCCTGCCCCGGGAGGCATTCTCTCAAAATCCCTGGAGAGTGTCCGTATGTTCCCCCACCTGGCCTGGAATATTCTTCCTGCTCATTTTCATCTGGTGAGTTTTATCCTTCAAATTGTTCAGCTTAACTATAGCAATGCCTTCCCTGGCCCTGGAGCAGGATAAATTCCCTGGCCACGGTGTCCCTGCACAGGGATCACTGTATAGACCTTCCCGCACTTGCAGCCACTCGTCTAATTGTCTGTCTTCCCCGTTAGACTGTGCATGCCACTGGGCAGAAACTTGTTCCCCGGCTCTGTATCCAAGCACTGTGGGTCTTGCTTGTCCTGGGGGCTCAGTATTTGTCAAAAGATGAAAAATTTCCATCCAAGCTAGCTCCCAGTGCATTCTGGCTCTCAAATTAATTACTAATCAATTCATTAATCTAGGAAACCTTTAAGTAATGCTCCCGTGTTCACAGCACCTTGCTACATACTTGGGACACTTCCATGGGCGAATAAAATCCACCTTCTCCCTGCACAGGAGAGAATTATTCAAATTGTATGCATCTTTCATTCCAGTCGCTCAATTAGGGCACGTCCCTTGGCTGCTGCGTGAGCGAAGTAACCATTTTCCAGCGAGTGTCCTCAGGTGACCTGTCTAGACGTGCCCAGGAAAAACAATCTAACATCTCCCAAGCCCCGGAGAAGTCTGCGCCGCGCAGGACGCGCCGTGCGGAAGGCCCCGGCGTGCTCGGCGCCGCGGGGCGCGCAGGGGCGGGCCGAGCCCGGCTGCGTGGCGCCCGGCGCGGGGCGCAGGCTCGGGGGCCGGCGGGCGGGCGGCGGCGCGCCGGGTCCGCCGGCCGGCAGGGCGCGAGCGCCGGCCCCGCGCCGCCCGCCCCGCCGCGCGCTCGCTTGTCGCGCGGCCGCACATGTGTTTCTGTTTTGTGTTGTAGCATTTGTTCTGGAAGCTCGTATTTACATTTTAAGTGTATCTGGTGAGTGGGCTGGAGCCCTCGTCTGGGCCGGGAGGAGAAAGGAAGCCCTCCGATCCGTCTTCCAGCTGCCTCGCCCTTTCTCTCCGGGTCCTCGGCACTCCAGCCAGGTAGGGCTCGAGACCGAGCAGCAGTTTGTGGGGTCTGGGAAAGTTTTTTTTTTTCATTTTTCTTTTCCTTTTTTTAAAAGAAAAGGTGTGGGGGGGAACCTGGGGAAGGGGGGGTTGGGGGATTGAATGAATAAAAAGGGGAAGGGAGGCGGATCCACGTGGTTTAATCGGAGACAGACAGAGATCCCATTGTTCAAAATCAATAAAAAAAAAAAAAAAAAAAGCAGACAGGGGAAGGCGCAGGGGCGCCGGGGGAGCCGCCGGCGGAGCCGGGCACTTTGCAGCGGGCGGACAGGCCGGCGGGCGCAAGGCCCGGGAGGGGGCCGGGAGACGGTGGGGCACCATTAAAGTTTTTATTTCTCGTGTCTGCGCGAGCAGGTGTCTGGGGCTGGGGGCTGTCTTTACGAGGGCTCCCCCCTCGCGGGGGCAGTCCATCCCGAGGGACTCGGCTAATTAGAGCCCGAGGTCGGACCCCGGGGCTGGGGCCGAATTGGGGTCTCAGGCTGGCGGGGGGCAGGGGACAGCTTTGCATTAAATTGGGTGGACTTGGGGAGGGGGCGCGGAGACAAAAGCAGCAGGTGGGGTGGCCGGGGAGCGGGCAGCTCCTTTACCACCCGAGGTGCCAAAGGGGGATCCTTAAAGCGTCCCAAAGCCTTCTTTAATTGAGGTCTGGGGGATCGGAGGCTCCTTTCCTTTGCCTTTACTTCTGGGGGGACCCGGCTGCAATTGTGATGCTTTGTGGGCAAACCTAACTTGAGGATGGGCCGGGGTCTCCGTCCCTCCCGCCCCCAGGCGGATTGCAGTCGGGGCTCTCGGCGCCCGTGCGGGATTCCCCGGAGGAGCAGCGCCGGGGCCAGGGAGGGGCGCGATTTCCTCTCCCAACTCGCCCCCTCTCCGCCCACCCCGCGGCCGCCACTTTGGGGAGGGCAGGGGAGGAAGTGGAGGCCGGGTGGCTCGTCTCCGCTCCCCTCCCCCCGCGCAGTTTATAACCCGTCCATTGTGCGCCGCTGCCCCGTGTCTCCCTCCAGCGCGACCATGCCCAGGAAGAAGGCGGCGGCGGCGGCCTGGGAGGAGCCGAGCTCGGGCAACGGCACGGCCCGCGCCGGGCCCAGGAAGCGCGGCGGCCCGGCGGGCAGGAAGCGCGAGCGGCCCGAGCGCTGCAGCAGCAGCAGCGGCGGCGGCAGCAGCGGCGACGAGGACGGCCTGGAGCTCGACGGGGCCCCCGGCGGGGGCAAGCGCCCGGCGCGGCCGGCGGCGGCGGGCAAGGCTGGCGGCGCGGCCGTAGTCATCACCGAGCCCGAGCACACCAAGGAGCGCGTCGTGAGTGCGGGCCGGGGGCGGCGGGGGGCCGGGGCGGTGGGCAGCGGGCGCGTCACGGCGGCGCGTTCCGGCCGGGGGCGGCCTCGCGCGGCGCTCCCTCCGGGCGGCCGGGCCGGCGCAGGCCGCGGGCTGAATCATCGCCGCCGCCGCCGCCTCCGCACAACAAAAGGGCGCGGGTCGGCGCGCGGGCCGCGGCCTAGCAGACCCCGCCGCCGCCGCGCGGGCCGTTGGCGGTGGGGCGCGCGCCCCGGCCCGGCGGAGGGCGGCCGGAGCCCGCCGCGCGAGGGGGTCATGGCCCGCCCCGGCGCCGCTCCGAGCCGACTGCCTCCCGCCCCTCCCCCTCCCCGCCGGGGAAGGGGACTTGGCTAAGTTCGCTCGGGCCGGAGGAGCGGGCGGCGGGCGGCACGCACGCCCGCGTTCGCCCCGGCCCCCCGGCCCGCCGGTGCGCCCCGCGCGGGAGGGGCGCCGGCGCTCTGCGGGAGTGGTGGTTTGCGCCGGGGCTTTGAGGTTCCCGCCGCCTCGGCTCCGGCGCTCCGGGGGCGGGCCTGCCGGCCGCCGCGCATGCCCCATGCGCCCTGCGCCGCCGAGGAGGCGGGGGCTGCCGGCGCCGGGCGGGGTGCGAGGGCGCATGCTCGGAGAGCCCTCCCCGAGGTCGGGGAAGCCCCCCGGCTGAGCGGTGCTTGGGTTTGTTTGCAGCTTGTGTCCGAGGCTGCGGGATGCTCCGTGTGGCTCTGTCGTGGCCCCGGTGAAGAAGCATCTCCCAGGGGCTGCTTGGCTTCGCTTTGCTCAATCTTAGTTAAGGTCGTGGCTGGCTCAACCTGCTGCCTGCGAAATCCTTGCGGGCGGCTTCGTCTGTCGTAGATATCGCCGATGATCACATCGCACGTGGGATCCGCCTTCTCACCCTCTCATCACCTTTTCTCTAACCCTCAGGCAAATTCTATTCCGGCTGCGCCCAGGTACCCCTCTCTCGCGTGGTGTGGACTTGAGA